TGAGTGGGGACGTCCCTGCACGCGCCGGGGCCGCGGGGGCGGGGCGCGGGGCTTGCGGGCCTTCCCTGCCGGGCAGCGAGGCGCGGAGCGGCCCCAGGCGTCCGGGCCCCAGCCCCTGCTCCCATCCCCAGGTGGACCCAGGGGTCCCGGTGCCCAGCCCTTGGTGGACCCAGGTGTTGGGGCCTCCAGCCCCCTGCTCCCATCCCCAGGTGGACCCGGGGTCCTAGTGCCTGGTGCCCAGCCCCTGGTAGATGCAGGTGTCCAGACCCCAGCCCCTGCATCCATCTCCTGGTGGACCCAGGCGTCCGGGTGCCCAGGCCCTGCTCCCATCCCTTGGCCAGATGCCCAGGCCTCCAGCCCCTGTTCCCATCGCCTGGTAGACCCAGGTGTCCGGGTGCCCAGCTTTCCCCCTTCCACCCAGGAATCACCCATGCTCCTTGTCCTGGCAGGACAGGCCGGGGCCTGTGAGGTCTGTGTGACAGCTCTGTGGTGCCCACAGCCCCTGCCACGCTGCAGCCATGGCGCTGCTGAGGGCCCTGGTGTGTGCGTCAGAGAAGGCGGCGTGCATCGCCCAGCTGTGCCGCCAGGAGGATGCGCTCTTCCAGCTGCTGGTGGAGGAGAAGACGGGCGCTGACAAGAACAAGAGGTTCGTGCAGGACTTCAAGACACTGGCAGACGTCCTTATCCAGGAGGTCATCAAACATGACGTGGGAGCTGAGGTACTGCCAGGGACCCCTGCCTGGCCCTGCCACAAGGGTGAAGGAGGGTGGGGGGCAAGGACAAGGGGGCAGCAGGGCACAGCTTGGAGTCTAGGATGCCCCGAGAGCCCCCCAGTGCTCAGCCCCCAGGGGTCCAGGCTGAGCCGCTCCCTTGCTCTGCCCCCAGTTCCCGGCGCTGCAGGGACATATCTTCGGGGAGGAGTCCAACAAGTTTGAGAATGGCTTGGGTGAGTGACCGACCGAGTGCTGGCGGGGCCAGGGGCTACCTGAGAGTGCCCGGGGCACAAACCTTTATCTTTGCAGGGGAGACCCTGGTGGTTCAGGTCTGTGGCACTGAGTGCGACACAGCTGCCCTCCTGGCCCGTGTCCTGGACCACAACCAGGCAGCCGCGGACCTGCTGGCAGCTGCCGTGCACCAGGAGGTGCCGCTGGAGGACCCAGCGCTGGCGGCCGTGGCTGTGGCTGTCTCACCGGAGAGCATGGCTATCTGGATAGACCCCATTGGTAAGCGTGTGCGGGCATGACCGCATCCCCCTGGCTTTGCTGAGTCCTGGGGAACTCGTGTCATATGACAACCACCTAGCCCTTCCCCGCCTCCTCACGGGCGCCTGCATCCACTGCTTCCCAGACTCTACCAACCAATACATCCGTGGCCGGGGCGACGTGGCACCTGTGGGGGGCATCTACCCGTCGGGGCTGCGATCTGCCCTGGTGCTTATCGGTGCCTATGACCGGCATTCAGGGGAGCCCGTTCTGGGCGTCATCAATGAGCCTTTCTACCGTCAGGACCCCCTCACCCACCGGTAATGGCCCGGGGCACTGGGCTGGGTTGGGGGGTCTTGGCCTGGGCTGGGATCTCAGCCCTTGCCCCTCTGCTCTGCCCCGCAGGTGGCAGGGCAAGTACCACTGGGGGGTGTCATACCAGGGCACCCGCCTGTGCTCCCTGCCGTGCCCACCGCTGCGGCCTGACCCTGCTGCAGTGCTGAGTGGCAGCGAGAAGCCAGAGGTGCAGCAGGCACTGGCTCCACTCTATGGAGGGCGGCTGCGCTTTGCCTCAGGCGCTGGTTACAAGATGCTGTGCGTCATCCTGGGCCTGGCCGAGGCCTACGTGCTCTCCGAGGGCAGCACTTTCAAGTGGGACTCGTGCGGCCCCCATGCCGTGTTGCGGGCACTGGGCGGGGGCATGGTGGACCTGGGGGCTGCACTGGCAGGCTGGCGGGCCGGCCGGCATGGCCCCCCGCCGCAGCTGACCTACCACCGGGCTGCAGGTGGCGCCGCAGGGGCTGAGCGCTGGGCTAACCACGGCGGCCTCGTGGCCTTCACACACCCTGAGCACCTGCCGGCCGTGCTGTATGCACTGGCAGCTGCTCCCGGGCTCTGAGCCCTGGCATGGGGGCTGGTGCCATGGGTCCAGGGGGCATGGTGGGGCTCAGCTGCAGTGTTGCGGCCCCGTGGGGAGCTCCTAGGTGGCCCCCAGACCAGCCCCGTGGATCGGTTGCTCCATTAAATGCCGGTTGCCTGAAGCTTTGTGTGAGTCGTGTGTGTTGCCCCAGCCCCAGGGTAGAGACGTGGCACTGGCTTTGCCTCCCACGCAGGCTGCGCCCAGGGTTCAAACAGGCGTTGCCTTGGGACCAGGTGCATGAACACTGCCCTGATAAGGACAGGCAAGGCCCCAGCTGGTGCCCACATAGGCTTCTCCCCTCTGCCCAGTGCTGGGGTTTCCTGGTGCCCCGTGGCAGGCCCTGGGGGGCTGGGCCCAGCAGTGGCTCTTGTGGTTCTGGTGCTGGGGGGCAATCAGAGCCTGATGTATAGAGAGGGAAACTGAGGCACAGGAGGGGGTGAGTCCCTTTGGAGGCCAGGACTGGGCCTGAGCATCCTCCAAGCTCCTGTTCCACCAGGCCTCAGGAGGGAACCCCAGAGTCCTGTGTCCCAGCTCCAGCTGGAGCCGCTGGCTGCCCCCTCCCGCGCCAGCCGGGCAGCGGGCTGAGCTGGCGCTGCCTTATCACTGTCTAATCAGGTGACACCTGTGCGCAGGCGTGCCCGCCTTGTGCCCCTGCCAGTGTGTGCTCGGGGGGGCCTGGCTCTGCTCCAGCCCCTGGGCATGACCAAGCCACAGCCTCCCCTGACTGGCAACCGTGAGTCTGGGGCAGTGAGGGCGTCCCGTGGGCCGGGCCCAGGCTGGCAGCTGGAGCCAGAACCTGGCCCACAAAGGGGCTCTGTCCTGGGTAGCTGGGGGCTTTCCCGGGCTGTCTGCTGGGGAAACTGAGGAAGCGAGAGACCAAGCCACTGGCTGAAGTGACCGGCAGACCCCAGGACTCCGGGGTCCCCACATCAGCCACCCCAGGCAGCGCCCGGGGCAGGGAGCCCAGGAGTCCGGGCTCCCAGCTCGAGACTAGAGCCCGGGTCCCCTCCGCTCCCCCGACTCCCCAAGGCTCAGGACTGGAGCCAGGAGTCCCGTGCCCCCGCCCTCCGCTCCCGGAGCGGGACACACCCCGGGAGTCCCGGCTCCCCCCGCCCGGGCACAGGCGCCTGCGGGGCGCCCCCGGCCCCGGCCCCGATCCCGGCGGGGCTCGGGCTCCTTCCGGTGACTCAGAGCTGGGCCGCGGCCCCGTCACATGATTTCGCGCTCCCGCCCCGGGGAGTGACAAA